AGTAGCAGCAGCTTAGTTTCTATCTTAGTATTAAATATAGCTTAAACTTATAGTATTAATATTAACTTGCGCAAGCTTATTACTATAAACTAGTAGTTCTATATTGTTTTATAGGCTTATTAGATAAGACCCTAGTATATAGATCCTAGTATAGCAACTAATAGAGAAGTAAGTTAGCATTAGTCTATCTTCTTTACTACTAGTCCTTCTACTGCATTAATTACTAGCTTCTGCGCAGCTGTATATATATCTACCTTATAGCGCTTTATCTACAGAAGCCCTAGTATTATATCCCTAGTAAGCCCTAGCACTATATAGGCAGCAACTAGGAATTTCTAGCTGTCTATATCTACTTAGAATCTTACTAAGTAGAATATAAATAAGTATAACTTATACTATTAATAACTGCCTTACTTAGTCTTAACTATAGTATAGATTTAGTGTGCCTCTTCTAGTAGTATTTGCTGCAGTCTGCGCTACTATATATACTTTTTGCTTATAACTATATAATAATTATAGCCTATATCTACTTAGGCATTAATAAACTTAAGTTTGTTAACTAGAATAGAGATAAGAAAAGGCATTATATTTATTTCTAAATTAGTTTTATCTAACCTCTATATTTAGTCTACTTGCGCAGTAAGCATATTAGTTATTATATAGCGCTACGCTCCTAATAAAAGTCTTATTATAGAGGCTTATTATTTTCTAACTTAATCTTAGTAGTGCTATTCTTTAATAAGTCCTCTGTTATTACAACTTATCTTACAGCAGCTAGTTAGAGCTATTTTAGCGCACGTAAAGTGCACTCTTAGATATAATATTTACCTAAGCTATAATGTAAATATTGCTCTACCTCCTATCTTTTAGCTAAAATAGCCTTTATTACCTATTAAGCTCTTTGCCTCTAGCTCTCTGCAAGATTCTAAGGCGCACTCTATTAAGTGCAGGCTTCTCTGCCCTCTTGCCCCTAGTCTATATTAACTTTATTAATGCCTATTATTAGTATATCTTTATTCTAGAGCTAACTACTTACTAAGGGGGTTTAGTTTCTGCTGTATTAGTTATAAAGCTTCTTCTCTAAGTAGTACAACTTAAAGTCTACAGTAAAGCGTTACAGCTTTACAATTGCTAGTTAGTATAAAGTACAGGAGATATTTTAGCTAAGAATTGCCTTATATATTTCTTT